TTAATTTAGAGCAACATTTAGATGTCAAACAAAGTGTGATGATCGTATCTAATATTCGATATTTTTGTTAAAAGAACGCATTTTCAAAATCATGTCAAAATATAGTGAAGAACGACTTAAAAATCTGTGATCAATTAAAATAATATAGACAATATCATTCATAAAATTATTGGTGGTTAACTTTTATAAGAAGGAGAACAAGAAATGTATAAAGCAGGATGATTGATAAACAATACACAAATAGAACTAGGGTGCATGGGTTTGGATGTGAATGATGAAAATACCCGTACTCGCACTCACACCCACACCCTCTCAAACTTTTCATTTGACAAATGAATAGAATTAATGAAAATTATGAAAATTCGATTTCCAATCCTTATTTTTCTGAATCGTTTCTATATGACTAACTAAAAAATCATAAAAATGAATTCTGCTTGATCATAATTATTTTTGTATAATAATGATAGAAGGAAGTAATACTAATCAATGAAAAATTTTCTATTTCTTATGAAATTTATGAAAAATAATTTAAAAAAAAACAATGACAATTTCCAGATGTTTATTAAATAATTGTAGTTAATATTGATTTTTTTTTGAAATTCTTACATGAAATTTCATGTATGGTTTGAGAAGCTGGTATATTTTTGGACGAATACACTATATAAAGTATTTTCCATGAATAAAGTTAAGACTCACTTCAAACATGAACTTGATTGACTTTTCAATTTTGTATATTAATTAGCGAGATGGTCTTTGAATTTATCTAGACCTGTATACGAAAAAAAAATGCGTAACACTCTTCATTGAATGTTTGCAAGTTGAAAATTCAAGCTTCAATTTTAATATGTACATTATTGTAGTTAGAAAAAAATCTTAAAAATTCGTGTGTTCTACAGTGAGAGATGTCGCTATATTAGTTAAAATGAGTAACTTGTTCGTTTGCCTATCTGTCACGTTTCATATTCTTTTACTTTGATAAATGAATCAAATAAATAACTTTCTTTCATTTTGATCCAATCGATACGATTTGCATATACGACATTTTATCCGTTATAGACAACGTTTGAGATTGTGAAAAAGAACAGGTAAACAAAAAATATATACGCAATCACGTCAACAAAAGATTACATTACAAAAAGAACAATATTGGTTGTCGTTTACTTCGCATATTTTACATATTTTAACAAATATTTCATCGCATCACTACTTAGTACAAAAATGAACTTGCTCTGGATTTTTCTGACAATTACTTTCATTATTGTCGGCAGTAATCAACTGGAATTAATACAACCGTCAAAAGAATATTTCTTGGAAAATGTCACGATCTCATTAGAGCGTACCGCTTGCTTTGGCATGTGTCCTGTTTATTCACTGATGATTCAGGGCAATGGATCGGTGATTTATGAAGGACGCGAGTTTGTCGAAATCAAAGGACAAAAGAAAAAGCAAATTTCAGCCAACGATGTCGTGGAACTGTTACGTAAGTTCTATGAAATTGATTTCTTTTCGTTCAAAGACGAATACAAAGAGGAACGAAACATTTTGGTCGAGCCGAATGGAAGGATACAGGAAGTTATAATGATGGTAACTGACCTGCCCACAACCTATGTCCATCTTCGTATCGACAGTTATCAAAAGAGTGTGAAAGATTATCACCGTGCGCCTGACAGTCTTCGACAGTTGGAAAAACTGATAGACAACATAAGCGGTGCTGCCAACTGGGTGAGAAACAGTACCACATTTCAATAACTCTTTTTTTTTCAATATTGACTAATAAACATTATTCTATTTTTTTTATCTCTGAAGATAAGTCTTTTTGATTGAGGGTGTGAATGAGTCCAAATCTACTGCTAACTTTTCTAACATGAAAATTAATTATCAAATGTTAATACAATCGAGAAAATTTGATTATCTCTTATATGATGTTTTTTTTTATCTACGAAAACAGAAATAGTTTATATATATAATTGAACATAAGTTTTATTTTGAAAAATAAAATGTCAATCAAAATCTAAGAAAAATGTGCCCCACCACTCACTAAAATACTCTGTCCAGTAATATAACCAGAATCTTTGCTCGCAAGAAATGAAACCATGTTTGCAACGTCATTTGGATGTCCTATGCGATCAAGTGGAGTCATTTTTAGCATATCATTCTCAAATTCTTCATTTGCTTGCCCTAGAAATTTTGCTGATTCTTCAATATACTTGTCACCCATCACTGTCTTAGATGTTCCTGATAAAATTTCATGAATATAATGTTTAACAAAAAAAGTACTTTAAAACATACCTGGACAATAAGCATTGACTGTAATATTATGTGGAGCCCATTCTATAGCTGCAGCTTGTGTTAAACCTCAAACACCCCATTTTGTAGCACTATAGAGACCGAACAATGGACCTAGTTTATATCCAGCACCACTACAAGCACCAATAATTCTTCTTCCTTTATCTTGTTTGATCATAATTTTAGCTGCTTCTTTATAACAAAGAAACACACCACGCATATTTACTGCAAACATTGGGTGTGGGTGTGGGTGTGGGTGGGTGTGGGGTGTGGGCGGGTGTGGATGTGAGTAGGAGAATAAGACCCACGCCCACACCCACACCCACAACCACACCCACACACACCCACACCCATACCCCACACCCAGAATGAGACAATAGACTGTTTCAAGAAGATTTCCATGAGAAGAAAACTTTTTCAAGTACAACTTTCGTATACTTTCGAAAAACTTTGTCTTGCCAATTTAGTCTATTTAATGATTGTTCTCCTCTTTGTTAGATTTCGAATATAACATTGTATTTAGTTTATTCATTGAAAGATACCCGACTAAAAAAACCAGATGCTGACCTAAAGCCACTCACACTACTTACCCTCCCCAGAAGTAAGATCCACAAATCATTTGATTACTTAGGAATGCTCGCTCGTTATTAGAGTCCCTGAAAGCCCAACTTTGAAAGTACGGTTCGCTCTTCTAGATATTTCGTGCTTGAACATAATACACGGTAATGTAAATATTTTCTTTGACTATTGGATATTACAGCAACTAGCTTCGAAGAAGCTACCTATACAGTCAGTGCATACTCTATTTGCATCGAAACTTGTGAAGCAATTGTTGGTTATTGGACGATCGCTGAATGAGTTTCTACGCAAAATGCTGATTGGATTAATGTTTACAAATCTGGTAGATGTGGAGCAACTGTAGGAAACTCATGCCTTGTCAGTTCAGATGCATATAGTAATGCTGACAGCAGTGCTACCTCTGGAACACAAATTATATTAGGTGTGGGTGCGGGTGTTAGTTGAGTGAAGATGAACATCCACACGCACACCCCACACCCAGCCACACCCTTGCCGTTTGAAGCATTGATTTTTATGTCGTTTGACGCAGAATTTATTTCTAAACAAAATGGTGCAAGTGTTAATTTGAACAAGTAAAACATTAACTTGTTTCAAATTTTAAAAAAACAAGGACATGTGTATATGTGAAAAGAGCTTGTTTTATCTTTTCTTCATATTTTCTATCTCAAAAATTTTCTTCATAAGTATTTAATATAAAATTATGCTAAGTACATGTAGATATGTAGAATTTTATGTAAGATTTTGTGGCATGTTCGAAATTTCTAGTCGAACCATTTGTTAAATATTTCCAATATTGTTTTTCGTTTTTGAATCGTTGCAAATGGATGATTGAGTAGATATTCATATTATAAACTTTGTATCAAGAACAAAATGTTATTCAGAAGACAAAGTCGACAGTTTTGTAGGGAAATAAATTCTCTATCAAATGAAGTGTGAATTAGATTCAAAAATGATTATCAAGTGTCTCAAAAACAGAACACAAAAGTGACCAATAATTATGCATTACTCGTCATTATAATATGAATGCATTTTATCATTTTCTTTTGTATCAACATGATTACAAAGACTTCTATCATTCTTCTCTTTTGTCATTTTAGATAATGTACCAGTTGTGTTTTCAAGCTTTCTATTGATCTTCCATTTATAAGGTGGAATGTAGATGAGAAGAAATTCTACAGTCGCACTCTCAAATTTGCTTCACCTAATTTGTTAATCGATTATTAGAAACCAGCTCATCAAGATCTTACTATTACTTGATTTCTTGAAGAACATCACTTTCTTCACTTGAGAACACAAAGAACTTATTCAAAAACTTGCTTATAAGTAGTTCATCTAGAGCAAGTCAAATCCAAGCTTACAAAAAGTTTGACAAGTTTCGACTTGAATTTGTCCATCTCTGTTGGAGATATATTCTGCATGTTCTTTAGGAATGACTGCATAAATCTAAGCCGTTGTATAAACCTCAAATCAATATTACTTGTTTAGCAAATTTATTTTTTGTATCACAACATTCATTACATGTGCGCACATGCGTTTGTCGAGCAAAACAAAATCGCTGTCTGTATAGTAGTCACAGCAAAGTTTTTTTCTTTTTCGTTTCTTTTTTTTTTTTGTTACAGATGAATGTTTTTTTCTCTCTGATCAGAGAAAAACTCGAGAGAAAGGAGAAGCCTATTTGATATATCACAAAGATAAAAATATGCAAAGTGTAATTAAAAATTGACGAAATATGTAACTGACATGTAATCTACTGTTAGTCAAGATAGTATGTACCAACTATGGTTATGCTTATTTGTCGGATTATGTTCTATTAATTGTATACAAGGTTTTTCTTTTCTTCATAACTAACTAAATCTACCCCCTTTTTGTTTCATGTGCAAGAGCAGAATTTTCGATTTTAATTTCAATTTGTCCTGATTTTTACTCGAAAATGCTTTTTTTTTTATTTGTGGCGGCTCGTAATAAGCGTCTATTTGAACAAAAAGCACATACAGTGATTCCAAAAATTATTGACTGCTTTAATTGGTGTGAAACCTTTGCATGAAATAAAAAAAACACAACTGTAATGCAGTTTATAATGTAGATTATTGCCCGTAATGTATATTTTATTGTTTTCAGATCTTTTGTTCTTGTAGTTACTTTCTCATTGGAGAAATAATACATTAGAAGTTGATGCAAGATGTTCTGCGTGTAAGTCTTAAATTCATATCAATGACCATATTAATGATACATGGTATAAAGTCAGTATCATTCTTTAGACATAAAAGTGGTCCATGTGTTTAACAAGAGATTGAATACTAAAATTGATTATTTTTTCGATCTTATCAGTTACTCATGTCATTGAAATCACCTGAACATTGGCGATTAATCAGTGGTTTGTTGGATATTACAATAAATCACGATTAATCGGCGATTCTCCAACTAACGTCAAAAGTAAGTATTATTATATGTAAATAAATATTTTTTTTCTTCTATTCAGATCATGTGTTCATCTTAATAAACAGTAAGTATGATTTTATTGAAAAAAAAACCTTATTTTGTACTATTTATTCCAGATAGTGAGAAAGAAACCATCCCTTTCTTCATTCATCAGAAACATGTATGAGTACAATGGTAAACGACGGTGATATACACGTTGCCCTAGTCAAACATCTTGTAAGCAAGGTCTTGGCCAAGACACAAGATACAGAAATGATAACAGATCTTGAAAATTTAGGTACAAGATCTTGAATTAGATCTTGAGTACAGTTATGTGAGATCTTGGTTATAAATATATAAGATCTTGGATACAGATTCATAAGATCTTAGGTATGGATTCATAAGATCTTGAGCACATATTAAAATAAAATGTGTTTCATATGTCGTGATTTGCGATACAATGCGTTATATATTCTGAAACCCTCGTTCGAACCTATCATATAGCGCATTTATTACTTTTTTTTCCGGAAAACTATATTATGACATTTCAATTTATTTTCATTTTAATTATTCCTATCCTGAATAATTGAAGGAAGTCAGACCTTAGAATCTGACTGACCTTGAGATGGCTCGATCTCCATCGAACTGCTTTAGGGTAGTCCTCCCTCGGCGATTGATCGAGATCAGCATATTCTCGAATGATCAACACTCGAGCAATAATTTTAAAAAAATGATCTTAAAAATGTATGTTTTATATGTTCAATCACGTTGTTTATATATGGCTCTATACGCATAAAAAAACGGTGAATGACTAGTCAGCATGTAAACACGAATGATGTCGTTCTTTTACTCAAGATCTTTTGAGAAGAGAATGGTAAATGATATCTCTTCTATGATCTTGATGAGATCTTAGATACAGATTTATCTGGAGTGTGGATGTCGGTCGTCTCTTTATTCACAATTACACCTCATCCACCCTATTTGCTTACCTTATACGTATGCAAGGAAACTTTGAATGAACTTGTACGACTAAGCAAAACATTTGAACCAATGCAGAGATATTTCTTTCTTTTTATTGTAGTGCTATTTAAGCATTACCCTGTAATATTTTCGATGATCCGATCTGTTTGTAGTATTTAGATCTACGACTATGGTTACTTCTCGATCTGCATACCATCATTCTTTGCCATCGTACTTATGCATATTTTCCGTGAATGAGGAGAGAAATGACTTCTTTCCCCCCATCCACAATAAATAATGCAGAAAAAGTTCTCTTTTAATAAAATAATGTTTACTCCTCAATTTGGTATTGAGACTGATCTAAATAAAAGAGAAAAGATTATTTTTATAAAACAATACACACTGTTCACTTGGATTATCAGATGATATAAGTACAAGCAAAAAACTATTTTTATAAACTAAAGTTTACTATTCATTGAGATCATCAAATGATCTAAATAAATAGAAGAGAAAAAATATTTATTTTTACATAATAATACTTACTTTTGAAGTTAGTTAGTTAGACAATCGCCGAATAATCGTGATTTATTGTAATATTCGATAAATCACTGATTAATCGCGAATAATTGACGATTATTTTGGTTGAAATCACGATTAATCACCACTTTTTTTCAAATCTTGCTATTAGTTGCTAAAATTGACACAATTTTGATGACATGGATAGTTTTTGGACAAACTTTATAAGGTTTCCATAAGATTATTGCGATTAGATGTTCAATATATGTTCCCTCGATAGTAATAGGAACTTTGTTATTACACCGATAAAGATCGAAGTCAATCATGATGTTTTAGTTTTAGAGAATGCTTGTTTTTGCCGATTTAGCACTTCAATTACAGTAATTTATTCATCTGCTGATGTCTTTTATAGAATCAAAGGCATGAAAAATGTAGGAATTTATTTCAGTAATTCTAGATGCAAGAGAAAAAAAAATGTATGCTGGATACTTTTCGATTGATTTATATTGTACTCTACACGATATATTTCATATGACAAGACACCTGACTATTAGAGGAATTCCTGAGTTAATTCTCTTACAAAAGGCTGCATAAAAAACATCAATTAAACCGAATACACTCATTTTCATTCAATCCAACTCCTTTTGATTCTATTCGAATGAATTGAATCAGATGGAATCGAATTTTGTGTGACGATTTAGTTCATCTTCTAGTTCCAGTAAGACGCTTTGATCTTCAAAAATCTCCGAGTTAAAAATTTCATGTTTCGGATGCTTAGGACGAAGACTTGCTTCCGGTCCTGTACAGTTTGGCATCATCCGTGTCGCGCAATACTCTACTTCAACAATAGGAACATTGACTAGTATTGTTTTAAATCGTATACAAAGACACTATCCTTCATGAAAAATTATTGTGACGGAAAGGAAACTTGTAAAGAGTTTGTCGAAAGATTTTAGTTTTGTGGAAGTTGAATAACTGCACAAGCATATACCAATTTGAAAGAATCTTTTAAGTTAGGTGTTTAGAATATTTCGTTATTTTTATCGAAAGAACTTGAATTTGGGTGGTAAACATCATCAGTATAGTCTCATGTAGTAACAAAATCGATAACAAGTATTTTCATTAAGATGTCTCTTTCTGGTAAGACTCTAAGAGAGAGTTGAATTTTGTTTGACTATGGCAGAAAATTGTGCGGTTCGCGGAAAATATTTTCGAGTGTCCACGATTTTATGAGATTTTCTCGATGTTCGAACTTTTTATATCAAAATTAATCGAGTACAGCTTAAATTTTTCGTGATTCTAGTCCATGCAAATAGAGTTGATCGCTAAATCTTCGCAACATTATGACATTACCAATACTTCTGGTGCTTTTCGACTGAAGAACGAAAAGGAGAAGCTATTGCGTGTTGTTGTTCAGTCTTATCTGTTTTTATTCATTTATTATGTTCTTTGCTGCATTGAAAAAGAGACTAACTTAATGTTTCGACGAAATAGTAGAAGAAAAAATAAAGAACTTCACTTGAATTCAACATGCTTTACCATCAATGTTTGAGAGCTACCGAACAAATGTAAAACACATTTCTGTACATAAGTTGAAGAGAAAAAGAAACACATAGAATGCTACTTTGAGAGAGTCTACGCGTTGTTTACAGCATAAAAAGGCAGTCGCATGTTTTTTGTCATTGTCACTAATAATTTATTGCATAATTGAACAATGAAATCAATTGATCAGCAAATCTAATAAATCCACAAGTCATATTTTTGTAGATTTAGCTTCAAATGGCGCAGCTTGTCATTAAGGATATATTCTGTATATTATCCATTCGTTACTACGTGAATCCAAGCTGCTATTACAAATTGTAATCGTATTTCCCAAAGTTGTTTCAACACTACCGATACTATTTTATTAGAAGAGAGTAATATGAGCGTGTGTTTTATATCTTATGAAAGCGAACATTATTCACTATCTAGATCGATACATATGGAATAGACCTGACCTCATGAAAAAGTTGAAAAGAAAAAGAAACATGTTGAATACTATTCTGAGTTCCATATCTGGTATATGCAGAAGGAGAAAACATTCGATGGGTTTGGTCTCTATTAATAGCGATCTGGTGCATATTACACACTGCATAATCACCTAGCCTTGTTCACTGATCAGCATATCATGAATGGAACCGGTTAAGCTTTTCTTGACCGGCACTGGTAACAGTCGAATCAAATGGGACGGGATCGGATCGACCACATTTGAGCATGCAAGTAAACACAGATAACTGATCCATGTAGCAGTTAGTTAGACTCTTTCACATCAGCAACAATTTGTATAGCAGCTCGAGTAGATGATACGTCCTTGATGTTTATCGCAACTAGGGTGTGGATGGGAAGTGATGTGGAAGAAAAATAGAACAGCATCCATCCGCATCCATACCTGGAACTTTACTCATATCAACACACAGTCACACATACACATCTTCACATCAAACTGAAATTTAGAACAAAACTGGAATGACTAATAAAAATGAGTTCTCTAATATCAAGTCCGAATCAGTGACGGCATCCTTTCTCAGCGAGGAAACATTTTTTTTCAGATCCATGCGTTCTTTTCTTGACTGTCAGAAGACAATTCGATGGATGTATGAATATTGAGGAAAATTTTTCAAACAAAGGACTACATAGGTTTGCTACAGAAAGGTATCTCTTTGTTATTTTTTCGTCCTGATAGATCTCGTGGAACACTATGACTATGTCGAAACTTGTTCAAGATCACTTAAACTTACACGGTAATACTCATTTATGTTATGCTGAATCCAACTAAAATAGTATTAAAAAAAGTACAATGAGTGCAAAAGGGAAAAGTTAGGATTTTTTTGAAAATCATTATGTGTTCACTTTTTGCATAGTTTGTGATATTTTCAAGGTGTTTCAGACTAAAAACTTGATCAAAACACAATAAAAAATAGATATTTGAAATTAGCTCAACGAGCTTTATCAAGCCATATATAAATTAATAGAAATAAAATTTTGCTGCATTTATGCGCGTAGAGTATCTTATTTATTCTAATGTATTTGAGCTTAGGAAAAGGATACATCCGTTCATGTACGTTTGATTGCTTGCTATGTAATATGACTCTACAGGGTATAGAATGATAGTAATGACTAAAATCAAAATTTTATGACATATCAATGTGACGATTTTAGGTGGAAGAGTCGCTAACGCTAATGAAGTCACGCTTTATTTCGGCTTCTTCGTATCATTAATTGTATCTTTTACATTAAAAGCACGCGTTTATATAGGCCATTAGGAGAGCGAGAGAGAGAACAAAAGAAGGAGAGAAGAGTCAAAGAGAGTGAGATCGCTCACGATACATAATTACACTAGAATGAAGAATAAAGCATGTGATATAAAGAAATGACAAGGGAAGGTTGAATATCATGAACTAATAGTTAATTCAACCAAGTAATGAAAACAGATAATGACACACAATAGATTTAACCAGGAACATCAAAATCAAGTTTTACTTTCTAAAATCTCCTTATTGAGAACTGTTGAAAATTTATTTAAGAATAACTGTATTGATATTGACTTTGTTTTAGATCATTTTGTTTCCTATTTCACCCTGTGATTATAGCCAATATTATATTTGTACTTGGCATAGAAAAAAAAAATTCATATTTTTATACTTATCAAATTAAAATCACATAATTCCAATAGGATCCATGGTAATTGTAAACTGTATTTATAGCATGTATCGATTGGTTTTAATTCTATCGAATTTCGACCTACGATAATTGTTATACAATCTCGACAGTCAGATAATTTTAACTTGACTATTATGATATTCCAATCAAGCAACGAGAATTGGTCGTTTTGTACATTAAAGTCTATTTTAGTGATCATTATTATTACAATTATTTTGATCATTATTCCATATGTTACACAGAATCGAAAACTACGTAATGATATCTTCACAAATGATTTTCTACGAATGAAAATCTGTCAAAATGATGACGAAAATTATTCACAATTAAGAAACATCATTTGCAATTTGAACTTTACGAAATCAAATACAACATCGACAGTAAATATAAATCAATCTTTTAATGATTACGAATTTTCTCGATTGAATTCACTTTTTCTCGGAGAAAATGGTTCTTTGGAAACGACTGTCAGATGTATTGGTCCGTTACGTAATCAATCATGTCTATATAAAAATTTGTATTATATTAATAGTACTTTCATGGTTTTGATTATAAAAGGAAGAATTTTACCAATACTTGACGTGCGTGTCTTTTCATTCGGGACGAAGAATGTTAAACCGAATATTCAAGAGTTTGATTCATATTTAGAACTTGAAAAATTCGTTCGCAATTCAGCTGATCCTATAGTAATATCTGGTGTTACTTTATTTTTTAGTTTTCCATGGATTGGTAATGTTGGTCATACGCTCTTTGATGGACTATATCCTGCCTATGCTGCAATAATTCCTTTTTCCACCTCGACAACTTTATCCATTTCGTTTACTTTGTGCCATAGATGAGTGTCAAACTTGCCGAGATGAAGATATATTTAATCGATTTGCTGGTCTCGGTATTATTAAGCAATACATTCTAAATGATATGTCAAATGGAAGTTGGTTTGTTTTCGATGAATTTGTTATGGGTGGTGGCATGATGTGTCAACGCTGTACACAACCAAATCTACAATTGCCTGGAGGAGTCGAATTGGATGGTTCTAGACTATTTCGTAATCGAATGTATTCTCAACATGGAGTCATTCTTCCAGTTCAACGAGAGAAACATTCTGCAGAAGGTCGAAAGCGACATGATACACTTCGTGCTTATGTAATTAATAATAAACGCTTCACCAAAACCGACAGAAAAGAAATAAATGCTGCGATAGATGAAATTAACAATTACACTATTGCACATCAAAATGAAAACATAAGTACTATCAACAAATTAGATTGGCCACTTGTCAAGGTCTCATATATAGATTACGGTTCAATCAAAGGTCAAAAAAAGAAATCATCTCGATTCAATGCAACTCCAATAGATGCTAGACTACCAACGTATGAATTGATAGAAACTTATTTTACGGCTCAGTTACGATTATTGCGAACTATGGATATTCATATTATAGGACCTGGTACAGGTGCAATGTATCAAACATTTTTATCGGATGGATCAGTTGTTATTAATGTCGGTGGTTTAATACCGTTGAGATCAGAAGATCAAAATATAACGTATACAGGATATATGGAACAGTACATGGCATCTGGTGCACCCTATCTCAAAGCTCTCTATTATCCGATTAATGAAAGGCCAAAAGGAATAAAAAGAGAAGAATTAGTAAAACTCATTCGAAAAGCAGCCAAACTTATCATGAATGGCTTTTCTATACCAGTAAATTCAATAGAAAACTTGGCACCAGATGGACAATTATTTATTGAAATGTGTAAAAGAGATAAAAAATTTTGCGAACTTGTTACAGCAAGAGCACCAGGTACTGATTTTGGTTGTTATCATTTTTGGGTAGAAGAACTTATTCACGAACGTGGACCTTGGAGAGAACAAGTGAGTACTCATGGTATTAGAAAAACTCGATGTTCATACAATCTTACATTGATGCGGGAATTGAGAGACAAATATGGCATTCGTCATTATGAGATAAGTGTTAATCAATCGAAAATCTCTGGTTAAGATATAGAAAAAGCAATACTTCAAGACACGCATTGCGCTAGCATTATAATGAATATAAAAAGCTATAGGATTATTTTTCACACTTTACTAACCAAAAACTTTGAATCGATTTCTAAACGTATCAATTGTTGTGCTGATACTACCTGATTTAAACGTCTCATAACGGTTGAGGGTATGAGTGTGGCTTTGGATGTCGATGTAGGTGTATGGCGTGAGTGCGATAGGTGTGGATCTGGATCTAAATCATGGTGAGGTTGTGGAATGTGATTGTGAGGTGTCCAGTATGCCATCATGCAGATTTCAACATTGATAAAAGATTGCTATCAGATGACTTCAAGCGTATGGGTGAGTTTGCGCATTTATAGGGATACGATTGCGGGTTGAGAGAAGGATACTCACATCCGCTCCCATCAACACCCATATTGACACCAGACTTTCATTCTCATAAAAAGGAAAGTGGTTATGCACACTCAGGTACACATAACCGGTCAGCTATGTACATTCAGATAGGTATAATCAATAAATATTAAGTTATCAACCTGTCCACGTAACAGTCCACCTACTTCGACAAAGTCAGAAGAATGCGAAATTCATACTTTCATTATATAATTTTTACGTTGTCAAAATGATGATGTGAGACGTTTTCTTAATTATTCTTTCGGAGATGTTATCAATTTGTTCATTTCGGGGAAACTACAATTAACTTTCTGAAGAAATAAACGTCGATGAAAATAGGCCGATTTTTAAAAGCGTTATTCCGTCACGACATTTTTTTCTACATGCGAGACGAAGCTATCATATATTTTGAATTGTTTTTTGTTTTTGTATGTATAGCTCGTCATCTCAGCGACAACTTTTCTATAGGAAAGTCCTTAATCACACTTGCAGAAGAGCTAAAATTTTTAGTTCTTCACATGCCACTGAAACTCGGAGTCCATTTTTTGGTGTATGGCAGCCTGGCTTATACATGTTTTCAAAAAATCAGCTCTATTAGACTTCAATCTGTTGATATATTTCAGAGATAAAGTGAAAAAAAAACGTTATTTCGTCACGCTTGGACAGGTTGTTATGTTATAGTTCTATAGGTACTTCATTATTAATATAAATAAAATGTGGTTAGGATGTGGTGCCACATCCACCTGAATGGACATAGCTACTTCCTGTAAAGTATGTCTATTCAAACAAAAAGCTAGCGAAATCTACTACAAATTGTGTGTGTGGATGTTGGTGAAGAAAAGACGCGATTCGCACCCACCCACACCCACACCCACACCCTAAAAATAACACATATCAAAAAACTCGAATTACTTAATAAAGGTCCT